TAAGATTATATTAGTTTCAGGTGTACAACATAGCGATTCAATGTTTTTATAGATTATACTCCCTTTAAAGGTTTTATAAAATGTTGCCCATAGTTCCAGTTGGTTTTGCTTCTGCCTTAGCATCTCAGGTATGCAAAGCTCCTGTCCCAGGGCCGAGCCCAAGAAGGGAAATGAGGGTAGAGGATCTCATCAGGGTGATAGCCCTGTCCTAGCATTGTCAGGACACACACAGGGGTGTGATCCCCACCCCCACTGAGAATTGTGGCTGAGATGTTCGGCCTGACTTAGGGCCTTAGAGCATCAGTTTTTCTACCAGTGAGACTGAGCCTCTCCCTGTCTGGAGCAGGAGCCTCCCCACATGGCAGGAAGGCGGATGTGGACCCTGGTAGTTCTGCTTGTTCATAGTCAACTCAATCATCTCTTTTTTTAGAGAGAGAGGGAACAAGGGAGGGAGGGGTCTAGGGAGGGAAGAAGGAAGAAAGGAAGGAGAAATAAAAGGGCAGAGAGGAAGGGGAGGAGGGAAGGAGGAAGGGAGGAAAATAAGATAAGAAAAAGCAAAGAAGAGAAATGCACACTTCTCTCTCTCCGTTCCCTTGGGAATTCTCTGGGTGGGGGCTCACTGGTTTTTCCAGCAGCTCCCCTGCTCTTAGCAGATCCTGGATATACATTTTCCTTAAGACTGGTTGTCTGCAAAGCAGGGGAAACAAACCAGAACCCCTCATAAATCAGTCGGGGTCACTGCCAAGAGCTTTGTACACTTGCTGTCCCTGGCAGTGATAAACTCATTGCATCTGGGAACCGGCCAAAGACCCTGAGTCCTATCTTAGTTCTCATTCCCAGAAAAAAAAACCTCAGCACTCCGTTCCCCCACCCCCTGTTTACTGTCTTTGTGTTTCTTAGAAAAAGCTGGCAAGGAAGAAGGAACAGAATTCCATAAGTGGGTACAGCAAAGGCTCCGCTTCTCCACTTCTTTGCTTGGGGGAGGAGAGGAGGGCAGAGGAGAGTCCTGGATCCATAGACTGCGGGGAAGGAGGCCCAGGCCAGAGGGGCCTGAAGCCACAGTAGGGAGCATGAGGGATCTGCGTCTTCGATTCCATTTTGCTCAGACCATGACTTCCACCTGCTGTTGTTGTTTTGTGGTTGTTCCCTCACAGGGCAATCTGAGATGGTCATCGTGATGGCCAAGAGCTAGCAATAGGGTTGGCAGAGGGAGATCATCTTGTGCAGCCCACCTCCAACAGGCCGTGTTCTCTTTACTGTCTCCCCACACGGTCCCTGCCTTGGCCCTGGCCTTGGCAACAAATTGTCAAGATGCCATGTGACATTAGGACAAGAGCAGAGCCAAAACTGTTCCTCTGACCCACGTTGACCCTCACCCCCAAAGAGGGGACCACTGTCTGCTGTGCCTTCCTCCTCAGCAGCATCATCCTCCTTTCTCTGGTTGACCAGACCAGGAACTGGGAGACACTTCCTGTCTCCTTAGCTCTTCCTGCCATGACGAGGCTCTTTCTGGTTGTTGGACCAGCATTCCCCACCTCTGGCAGGGGAGTTCATCTTCAATTTTACCCATTCACAGCACCTTGAACCTGAACTTCTTCCTTGTAGCCCTTAGCTCAATTAGTCATGCACACCCTTGTGCAATGAAATCTAAGTTTTATGGCAGAGAGGACCTCTTTTGTCTCGGTCATGCTGTGATCTCAATGCCTGACACAATGCCTGGCACCTAGGAAATGCTCAACAAATATTTTGGGAAACAAATACTGAGTCATCTGTTTTATCCTGTTCTTTCTCAATTGACAAATTCTTTCTTTCAATGGCTTTTCTTGCCTATGATGAGTTGGAAGAATTAGCTGGATTGGGGGTGAAATTTGTTCTCAAGGCCAGAAGGGTTGGGCTAGGAGAGGTTTCCTTACTCCTCTTGGGGCAGAAGTGGGTATTTTGTGAGATATGCCTGGGCATTTAGATTCTTCTGACAAGTCAGAGCAACAAGCAGGGGGCTGTGGCCTTGGAGAGGGTTTTCGAGAAGGTCCAGGCCTGAGGGACAGGCCTCTCCAGATGACTCAGGAGCCACCTGGTTCTGCTGGCCAGACAGAAGCCATGCCTGAGACAAGAAAGAGCCAGTGGGCCATTTTGCTCTGAGTTAGCATTTGTACCTTGTTGTTCAGTCGCCCAGTTGTGTTCCACTCCAGGAGCCAATGGACTGCAGCACCCCAGACTTCCCTGTCCTTCACCATCTCCAGGAGTTTGCTCCAACTGATGTCTATTGAGTCAATGATGCCATCCAACCATCTCATCCTCTGTCACCCCCTTCTCCTCTTGTTCTCAATCTTCCTAGCATCAGGGTCTTCATTTGTAATGAATCAGCTCTTTCCATCAGGTGGCCAAAGTATTGGAGCTTCAACATCAGTCCTTCCAATGAATATTCAAGGTTGATTTCCTTTAGGATTGACTGGTTTGATCTCATTGCAGCCCAAGGGACTCTCCAGAGTCTTCTCCATTCGTACCTTAGATGTAAATGTTAGGCCACTTTGAAGAGACAACAAATGCAAAGACCCTGATGTCTCTCAGTCTGGGCTCTGAGACAATTAGGGCTGAATCAAGATGCCCACATAGGGACTTCCTCTGAGTTGAATGAGTTCCTCTGTCTCCTTCCATACAGAGAGCAGAAACTGATCATAAACCAAGACAAGTATGGAGCCTGTAAACTTGCTCGATATCGGCAAGCTCAGACCAGCGTTTTGGTGAACCAAAAAGCTGCATAAATTCCGCTAACATTTAACCCCACACTGGATGCTATGCACATATAAGAGATTAAAAACACATTGTTCCCACAAGGAACTTCAACTAGAGTGGGATGGATTTTTGTCTGAAATTTGCAGAAAAACACTCAGCAACATGTGTTCTCACAGAGCTTATTAACTCAGAACATATCTGGATCATCAAAGTAGATTCAGATCGAAGCCAGTGCTTCGTTTCTCTTGGCTCCTTGCAGTGGTCCCATTCCCATGAGGAGTGCTGCACCCCGCTTTTGTAAATATGGGATCATCTGCACAAGAATGAAGCTGGTGCCCAAACAAGTCCACATGTGGTCCCTCTTAAGATGGCCAGAGAGGGACCCACATGGCACCAAGTTGATGGTTGCTTTCTGCCTCTGCTTTTTTTTCTTTTTTTCTTTTTTTGGCTGTGCTGGGTCTTATTTGCTGCACGTGGGCTTTCCCTAATTGTGAGCGGGGAGTTCTCTGTAGTTGAGATAGGCTGGATTCTCTTGGGGTGGCTTCTTTCACTGCAGAGCACAGTACCCTCTGTTGTGTGGGCTTCAGTAGTTGTGCAGAGGCTTACTTGCCCTGCAGTGTGTGGAGTCTTCCCGGATCAAACTGGTGTCCCCTGTATTGGCAGGTGGATTCTTAACCACTGGACCATCAGGGAAGTCCATGCCTTCACTTTCTTTGGAGATGGGTAGGGAGAGTCTTAGCAAGCCCTTGATGTAACCCAGCTTCCTCTGGGATGTACCATCATCTCTAAAATGGCCAGGTACCTCTACAGGGTGTCCCCAACTGAGGAAAGGTCTCTACCTCACCCATCCCCTGGGAGAATACCCGAGGAAGAGGTCCTTAATGACCAGTCCAGCCTCTCCACTGAGCATCCTCTCCACTGCCCAGCTCTCCACTCCTCCAAGTCCTGGGGCCCTTATCCAGATTCACAGGATGGACAAGGAGCATACATCAGAGAAGATGCTTCCCCACCCAATGATCCCACCCTCCCTAGGGAAAGCCCACCCTCCTTTTAACAGGTCCTCTCTTGGGACAACCAGGCTTTTCCGTGTAGCTGTGCTACCTTACATTTCAACTGATAAATAACGCTTTTTCAATTGATAAGCTCCCTCTTGTAATGAACCTGGCTTTCCCTGTCCTTAATGAGGACAGACCTATTAGAAAGGGATCACAAGGCTACAGGAATTAGCTGAAAGTCAAGGGTAAAATCCATTGCCATGGCCAGAATGTAATGGATCTAGGAGCTCAGGAGGGCACCATGCCCCAGCCTCTAGCATATTTGCCCACAAGACCCCATGATCTGGCTCTAAGAGTACTCTTCCAGGATGGGGTGGTGGCCCTGACATGCATTAACTAACCCAATTGCATCATTGCCTGTGGACTACTTTTTTAGTTAATCTTTTTGAGATACTTTTAGATTCACAAGCACTTATAAGAAATACTATAGAGACATACCATTTACCCAGCTTCTCCTAACAGTAACATCTGCAAAAACTATAGTACAGTATCATGGCCATGATGTTGACATTGCTATATCCCCTGAGTTTATCAGATTTCCCAATTTTGCTTGTACTCATATGTACGTGTGTGTGTGTGTGTGTGTGTGTGTGAGGTTCTATACAACTCTATCCCATGTGTAAGATGTGTCAAGATACAGAACTAGCCTTTCATCAAAGAACCCTTCCAATTGTCTGTTATCACCACACCTCTCTCCCCTCCTTGCCCCTCTCCCATCCCTGAAATCTGGCAACCACTTATCTGTTGTCTGTTTCTACAATTTGTCATTTCGAGAATGTCACATCAATAGAATCACATGGTATGTAAACCTTCTGGGGCTTTTTTTTTTTCATTCATGATAATTCCTTTGGGATTCATCCAAGTGGTTGGAACCATCGGTAGTTTCTTCCTTCTTATCGCTGTGCCTGTGGTTTTAATCATTAAGCAATAGTGCATCTCAACATGGCACCAAGGGCCAATTACAAAGCTTCTGGGACATGATCTTCAAGGATCTTTTTACACTGAGGAAGAAAATAGGTTTTAGTTAATGTTTTCTGAGTGGGGGAGAAAACAACAACAACAAAGCAAACATGTTATCTCTTTTTCCAGGTTCATGCCAGCAGAGTTTGGCTTGTTTCTTTCTTTCCTAACACAGCGGCCAGTTGGGTTGCCATTCCCTTTAGTGTTGGGTGACAGTTCTTTCTTGTGTCTTCCCATCTCCTGCCTCCCCAGGAGCACATCTACAAGCTGATGAAGAGTGACAGCTACGCCCGCTTCCTCCGGTCCAATGCTTACCAGGACTTGCTGCTGGCCAAGAAGAAGGTATCCCTGGGAAGGGCGGCCTTGCCTTTCTTAGCACTATTGACCTTTGCCTGCTGCTTGCTGCTGGTGTGACGTGAGAATACCATCCCTTGGGTTTTCTTTCTTTTCTCTCTTCTTCTTTCCCTTCTGTCCCTGCTTCCACTCCAGTAGAAGACAATTAGGATTGTTGCCACCCCACCCCGCTGAGGTCCAGGGTGTGGCCTCCTGTCTCCTGGTACTCAGCATCTCCATCTTCCTGTCTGCCCACAGTGGAGGGAGTGACCACCTAAGAGGCCCCTGGGGCTCAGCCCAGGAGCAGAGGGCTGGCTGTGAAATCAGCGAAGCCCTGAGGGAACCACTGGCGGGTCCAGCCCCCTCCCACAGAATTTCCTGCCCCGATCAGCGTGCAGAGATGAGTGTAAGGCAAGGATTGCGGCAGCCCCCTCTGCATAGAAAGGCTTAGAGTTCTTCCAGGGCGATGGGGCACCGGAAATCCTGCCCAGGGTTGTTGCCCTTTCCTCTCTCCCATCTGCCACCTGCCCCAGAGCATTTGCCTTTTCTTTTAACCAAGAAGAAATGGCATCCTAGCTCCTCCCTCCCTGCCCTCCACTCTGAATGAAGTCTTGGTTCCCTGCAGCCCTCGGGGTCTAGATTTGGGGGTGCAGGGACACCCCCCCAGCATGCAGGCGGTGAGGGGTGACTGGAACAAGAATGAATGTGGCTGGATTTCTGGGAGGAGGGAAGGCAGAGCTGGAAGGAGGGGGTGAGGGAAGGGGGAGGTAGGGGGCTGGCTCATGGTCCCAGTATGCCAGCGAACACTCTGCACTTTGCGGGTCTGATCTGAGGTCCACGAGGGGTTCAGTGTGGCTCTCCTCGCGCCAAACTCCAGGACTCGCGTGCCTCGCTGCTTAAGACCACGCGCATCCCTTTCTTCTGCCTCTCAGCCTCCCGGTGGCAATCCCCTAGCCTGCGGTTGTCCAGCGACACCCTCTCTGTCCGGCTGCCCCTCTTTCTGTGTGCTGTGACCTCATGGGCTGGGAGCCCAACTGTGTGCCTGGCTGGTAACCACGTCACTCCCTAGACTAGAACTGACTAGGAGAGCAGTTCTCTCCTGCTCACCTGCCCTTGGGTAGCCCTGAAGACACCCCTGAGAGTCTTAGAAAGAGAAGTAGATTTGGGGGGCACCCAGAATGTCCGAGACCCAGCTTTCTTGGCTTGCACCCTTTCTCATCACGTGTCACTCCTATGATGGGAAACGTGAAGCCCAGCCTCCAGCCAGCTCCCTGGCAGGAGGGTGGAGGTGGAGGGGCCCTGATGGAGTGGGCTGACATCCCCCCAAATAATGGTTCTGATACCCAGTTTTTCAAAAAATGTGAAGACTTTTAGTATCGGCAGCCCAGATCTCAGGGGAGAAGGTCAAAGTGAGCGTTCCTTATTTCGTGCAGCTCAAGACCCTGAACCAATCCCAATGTGGGGAAATCATGGGCTCCCACAGTTGGGGTCACCTGGGCCTGTCCACATATGTGTCCACACACACAGAAGAAGCCAGAGGCCGTTTAGTCTCCTTGTGAGTCTGAGTGCAAAGAGAAAACGCACCCCTGCTCAAGGAGTGGGACTGAGGTTCCTGTGGCCTCAAGTCCTCCTATAAAAGCTCCTTCTTAAAGCTTCACGGAGGAGCTCACTCAAGTGAGGCAGGAACAGATGGCCTGCCTGTGACATGTCACCAATGAAATTTATTAGAATTTTCATCCCAGCCCTCTCAAGGGGTGTCCTTGGGGGTCGAAAGCTCTCGCCGGAGCCAATGCCCTTTCAGTATTCAGGGGGTAGTTGTTCCTAAAATCAGTGACAAGCCTACCTTTTCTTCTGTTTCCCCTGAGCTCCAGGCATGGACTGGAGTTGTAACTCGGCACTTTCAGGTAGACCCAAAGTGTCTTCGGTTGCCAGGGGTGGGCTCACCATGAGAGCTACATGTCCAGGTCATGATGGGATGTGAGCCATAGTCCCAGCTAAGAGGCGGGCTGTAAAGCAGCTTCACTTTTCTGCTCACAAAGTCCCGTGATGCACTGTGGGGGCACAGCCTGCCAATCCTTCCTCTGTAATCCATTCTCTATTCAAGTATCTTAGTCATTCTGATGAGCCAGGTCCTCAGGGGCACGTGAGCTGGGCTTGGAGGACCCCTCCAGGACACTTTGAGGGCCCCTCCAGGACACTTTGAGAACCCCTCCAGGACACTTGGAGGACCCCTCCAGGACACTTGGAGGACCCCCCCAGGACACTTTGAGGACCCCCGCAGGACACTTTGAGGACCCCCCCAGGACACTTTGAGGGCCCCTCCAGGACACTTTGAGAACCCCTCCAGGACACTTGGAGGACCCCTCCAGGACACTTGGAGGGCCCCCCCAGGACACTTTGAGGACCCCCCAGGACACTTTGAGGGCCCCCCCAGGACACTTTGAGGACCCCCCCAGGACACTTTGAGGACCCCCCCAGGACACTTTGAGGACCCCCGCAGGACACTTTGAGGACCCCCCCAGGACACTTTGAGGACCCCCCCCAGGACACTTTGAGGGCCCCCCCAGGACACTTTGAGGACCCCCCAGGACACTTTGAGGGCCCCTCCAGGACACTTTGAGGGCCCCCCCAGGACACTTTGAGGACCCCCCCAGGACACTTTGAGGCCCCCGCAGGACACTTTGAGGGCCACTTCAGGACACTTTGAGGACCCCCCCAGGACCCCTTCAGCTCCCCTGGTGGCTCAGACGGTAAAGAATCCACCCACAGCGTGGGAGACCCAGGTTCAATCCCTGGGGTGGGAAGATCCCCTGGAGAGGAAATGGCATCCCACTCCAGTATTCTTGCCTGGAGAATCCCATGGACAGAGGAGCCTGGTGGGCTATAGTCCATGGGGTCTCAAAGAGTCAGACACGATGAAGGGAATAAGCATATCCAGGACGGGGCGGCTCCAAGGGCCTGTGCAAGGCAGAGGAAGCCACATGAGTCAGGCTGATGGTCCCTGTGTGAGTGGCCACTTGATAGCCAGGGGATGGGAAGGATAGGCACAGAATTCCAGCTGTGGGGCCTAGGACCGGCCTGACTTGAGCCACATGGATGGCCCCCAGGTTGCCCACTGGATTGAAGCTGAGTGCTGCCATCCCCAAGTGCAGACTGGCTATGGTGCCAAGCCCAGCACATGTCCTTCAGTGCTGCATCTGAAGGACAAAGACCAGCCTGGCTCTGCGGCAGTGTGTCATCCGTGTTGCATTTTCCTCCTGCAGTATCCTCTCTGTCTTCAGCAGCCAACCTAGGAGATAGGACATGACGGCCAAGGAAGCCGTCTGGTCTTGTCCCCAGTGACACACAGTGCCTGCCTTTTGCCCCCTCGGCTTCCAGCACATCCTGCAGACCCACAGACCCCTGGCTGCTTCTTCAGCTCTCTAACTTCCATTATTTGCTCTGTGTGTGTCTGTGAGTGTGTGGTGTGTGCATATGAGGGTGTGTGTCTGTGAGTATGTGAGTCCATGTGAGTGTACGTGTCTGCGAGTGTGTGTTCTGTGTGTCTGAGTATGTGTGTCCATGTAAGAGTATGTGTCTGTGAGTGTGTCCCTGTGAGTGTGTGTACTCTCCAGATTTCCCAGGCATGGATTCAGGACCCCGGAACTGGGCTCTGGGATAAACTAGTAGGTATTTGGGATGTAATTCTTCCCCCCCTGGGAAAAGCAGAAAACTTGGGGAGAGACTCAGGTACACACCACACCCCCTCCTCCTCCGTAGAGGAGAGCTGCCTGGCCTGGGGAGTACACAGGGCTTTGTCCCTCTTCCTTCTGTGTGTATTGTGGGGGTTGGGGGGTGGCAGGGAGGGGGTGCCCTCAGCTAAGACTCCCCAGGAGGCTCCTGAGTTGCCTGTCGCCTGCCACCTGCTATGAGTAAACCTTGGAAGGGGTCGCCTGCCCAGGTACGGAAGAGTATTTTCTGTCCAGAATACTCCTTCTGAGACCCAAGACCTCTGTGGTTGCAAAAGATATGGGCAAAGAGAGCCTCCTTGATCTCAGGATACAGAAGGACTGTCCTTAGCGGGCTGCAAGGATGTCCTGGAAGTTAGCAAACTTTCTGGCTGGAAGATCTCAGAGAAAGTCCTAACCCAGACTCACGGAGGACTTGATGACCTCGCCTTGCCCACGGCCATTTCCTGACATCTCAGTGCATCCCCCCAACACCCCGTTGGCCCTGGGAGCTGGTCTGGACTGTATCCCCAGTTGAGGCCCCCAATTGTTCCCTGCACAGGGGCTCGGCTGGTTGGAAGCAGTGATCAGGCAGCGCCCCACTGTTCCCAAGGGCCCAGCTCCCAGCCCGGAAACAAGATGAATGACTCTTCTAGAAGCAAACACCCCTCTCTCCTCGCTGCTCTGAGGAGGCAGCCCCATCTCTCCTGGGCTTCTGTTTCCTGCCTCTCCCACTGACTCCTGCATACAGCGCTGGCTGCTTCTCTCTTCCTGTTTTTTGTTTTGTTTTTGTTTTTTTTCTCCGCCCTGTTTTGCTTTTGTTTTGGTTCATTAGCTGCTGCTGCTGTTGTTTAGGAACCATGTGTTATCTGAAGAATTTTTTTTTTTCTGTATTTTTCTCCCTATCTATTTTTCCCCTAAAGCCAGAAAGTGAGCAAGGTCGTAGAACTTCCTTAGAAAAGTTCACTCGCAGTGTGGTAAGTTCAGCTGGTTTTCTTTGGTTTTTCGGCTTTCTTTCCGTTTTTCTCGGTGGTGGTTTTCGTTTCCTTCGGGAGGGGAGGGAGCCCAGTGCTCTTCCCTCCGCACACCCACCCGTGGTCTTCTGCGAGTGTCGGTGGCTTCTCTCCTAGGGACCAGTTTGCAAAAGACAAAAGGCCCAGCAGCTCCCCCTGCAGATGGGTGCACGGCCCCCCCCACCCAGCCCCTGGCCCGACATTTGCTCTCCTGTGCAAGGGGGCTTCCAGAAGGAAGGACCACTCCCGCCCCCGCCCTTGGGGCTGCTTGGTGGGTGCACCTTCTGCAGCAGCCCAGGGAGAAGGCTGTAGCTGGACCATGAAATAAATTGGCTCAGAACTGTAGATCATCAAAAAAAAAAAAAAATCCAAATTTCCCCCTGGGACTCTGGCAGCCTCGCGGGTGTGGGAGGTGAGCTGCTGCTGCTGCGCCGGTGGCTTATGCGTGTGCAGGAGGCGGCCGTGCTGCATGGGTTCTGGCAGTGAGGTCCGGCTGGCGTGTGTGCGTGTGCGTGCGTGCGTGCGTGTGTGCGTGTGTGTGTTGGTGGCCTCTGCATGAGTTTCCATGTCCCTGACAGCCCCATGTTAGCCTCCTTTGCATAGCGTGATAGGGCAGTAGCCACGGGGTGGCGTGGCCATGGTGGTTAGGTCTTCCCCCGTGGTGCCCGGTGCAGATTCTGAACTGTGGTCTGTAGACAAACACAGACCCGTCTCCTTTTTCCGTAATGTTCTCTGTAAGATTGGGCTTTCCCAGGTGGCGCTAGTGGTAAAGAACCCACCTACCAATGCAAGAGGCATTGGCAGGTTCGATCCCTGGATCGGAAAGATCCCCTGGAGGAGGTCATGGCAACCCACTCCAGTATTCTTGCCTGGAGAATCCCATGGACAGAGGAGCCTGGTGGGTTACAGTCCATAGGGTCTCAAAGAGTCAGACACGACTAAAGCAACTTAGCATGAACACATACTCTGTAAGACTGAGGCATAGGGCTTGGTACACGGAAAGTAGCCAGTCCCCTTCTTTCCTGAAACCAGCTACTGAGTTCCTGCAGCCCAACTCGCACTGGTCACCTGGAAACAGAGAGCAGCCAGGGAGCCAGGATCCCATGCATAGGATTTGTAGAAAGGGTAGAAACCCACTGATGCTAACTTGCCTTTTTCCTCCCTCTGTTGCAGGGGACAGTCCTTGTAAACCTTACTACTGTGTGATTAGTATCTTTATTTTATCCTTTTAACATAAATTCTAAGAATTCTGGGTGGGCAGCAACCTGGTTGTTTACCTGTCATAGCTAGATGAATCTTAACTGAATTTAAACAGAGTTTTTGAATTTGCTAGATGTCAGCTTCACTGCAACTCAAGTAGATGGCAATTAAAATATGGGTGCTCATCCCATCTCTTCTTTGGTCTTCTCTCTCTGTGGTCTTTCCTCATGAGAAATCAGAACTTGCAGAATGTCAGGCCTGTGATCCCCTGTCGGTCTTCATGGTTGGCTTGCCGCAGCCACGTAGCTTCATGCACCAAGAAACTGCCATGGGCTATTGGAGGCAAGGCCGTGGGAGTCCCTCCGCCCCTGACGGCTGATAGAGAGTGGTGGGAACTCATTCCTCCCTCTCATCTGAGGCTTGGAGGCTGCAAGTAGAGAATGTTCAGGGGTTTTGTTGACAAGCCCAGAGTATATTATGGAGAAAGCAAAACTCTTGCAACCCCGGGCAGGCCCTTCAGGTTGGCCACGTGGGCTGAGGCTGTGAGAAGAAGCCTGGTCCTCAGATGAGGCATCCAGATCTCTCCAGACTGCTTTTCATGAGCAGTGGGTGTTGGGAGAGCAAACATGATCTCAATGAAGCTCTGCAAGGAGCATTTATTGACATCCCTTCTTCCCAGAAGTGGTGTTGGTTCAGTGGTTCTCCAAGGTCTGTTAACAAAGTGTTTGGAATGAGAAAGCACCAGACACCTTCCAAGCATTTGAAGTGTGCACCTGGGAGAACTTAGGGAGATGTTTACAGGGCCAGCTGAAGGAGAAAAATCTCCCAAACTCCTGAGATTTTTAGAATCTATATGAAAGAAAGCCCAACCTTGCAAACCAAAACATTCCTAAATTGCCTGCTATTTTTCTGTAAAGACTCTAAAGGGTCATGCATTCTGATTTTTTGTTTCCAGTAGCAGAAATAGAGATGGACTTGTTTTGATCCATCCATGCTGCGTGTAATCTTGGGATATCACCACTTGGGGTGACCAGACGAGGCTGAGCTTGAGGAAATGACCCACAGCTCTAGAGTGGTAGCAGCTCTCAGAATACTTGAGGCTGGAACTCAAGAATGTGGTTTTCATAGCCCAGTATTCTAATCAAACAAAATTAACCAGTCAGCCAATATGTCTTGCAATTTGATAGCCATTTTCTGGATCTAATATACATAAAGTGCTTGATTTCTTTGAAAGAAGGTCTACATGAATATTTCATCTTCTGTATACTGTAAACTATAAAACCCAATGGAAGGCTAACACAACAGCATTCTCATGGTCCTGGGAAATACATGAAGAAAGACCATCCACATCATGGGAAAATGAGGGAGTGAAGCTGGGCAGTCCTTGGACCAGGGATGTGAGGCCAGCTGCCCTTCAGGACTAACCGGTGACCAGAAATGTTGATCCAGATCATTCATTATCTCAGTCAGCTAACTTCTTATCAAGACTGAATCTGGGTCCAACATTTCTCCCATGCAGTGCTCTTTCTTTTCTTGGTAAAGGAGGAACTTTGGAGAAAGCAAATTGTTCTTTCTAAGACTCCTGTATCATGATATGGAGGGATTATCTGTGGAAGGCCGCTGAGGCCCCCTTTGACATGGGATCCTAGAAAGGAGTTCAGTATGGTTCATAGAAGCTGCTAGAGCCATGCTAGTTTGCGTGCAGAAGGAGCCCTATGATTCCCAGCAGAGGCATTGTTTTTCACACGGCTCCTTTTAATGGAAGCTTCATTCTGAGTCATGCAGAACTTGAGTAGCGAGTAGCAAGTAGCAAATAGGGGTTATGCTGTGCCAAGGCACCGTGTACTTTGGCCACCCGGAGCCACAGAGCTTGCATAAAGGCCTGCTTTTTGATAGGGCCAGCCCAAGTTCAGAAGCAAATATCACTCAAAGTCCAATGCATGGTGCAGCCAGCCCATAGTGCATCTTTATCCAGAGCAGAAAACAGGATCCTTCTGATGGGCCCATCCCCACAGATGCCCAGCTGGCCAAGCAAAGTGCAGCTGGATTTCAGCCCCTCCTTAACCCTCAGCTGCCCTTGTACAGTGGATGACCCACACCATCATACAGGGTGGCCCTGGTCACAAGAGCCCTGGGCCCAGGAAGAGCTGTGACACATAGCAGGTTCTTAAAGCAGGGGGCTGGGGGCAGGGAGGTGCTCAGACATGGCCTCAGATCAGATGAGTGGAGCCTCTTTCCCCCAGCTCTGTGCATTGGGAAGCGTCCTTTCACAGTGGCTATAACATATGAAAGCCACAGTAGGAAGCTTCTATAGATTGTGTTTGCCTTGCCTTCCATCTCCTCTTCACACTCTCTGGTTGGAGGTCCCGGGCATTGCTGCCTGGGGAGAGGAGAGTCTTCTTTAACTGAAGACTACTTCCCACTGCTCAGGACCAACCAGCCTGCCATTCTCTGCCACCTCCCCGGTTTTGCAGTCAACAGATGACCTCGAGGGTGTGAAGGGGGCCAGAGAGGAAAGACTGTCCATCCCCCTGCTCTCTCGGGCGTGCTCGTTCCTTCGGGGTCTACTGCAACGCAAGGGCCAACTCTGACACAGAGGACAGAAGGATGTGCGGGAGGAAGACAAGAGTAGCAAAGGGCCATGAGCCAAGACTCAACAGCAGCAACTGGCCTGTCCCTTTTCGGGCAGTGGCCGAAGCCATCTGGTGAGAACTCCAGAGGAGGAACTCTGAGGAGGAGAAGATAGAAAAAGTCCCCTGCATCTTTGTATAAGGGACAGCACTTAACTTAGAAGTGGCAGCCCCAAGGGACAGCAGCATCAGCCTCCCTGGACACCTTTGCCTGGGTGCTCAGCTGAAGCCCCAGCTGTCCTCTTGAGAGCCTCATCGGCTGTAGCCTCAGGCTCCCGAGATGGACAAAGGAACGGCTGGTGCTGGAGGCCTCAGAGGACAAAAGAGATGAGAACCAGGTGTTCATCCCTCTCCTAAGAAAACATCACAGTTGGGCTTTGCTGAGGTGCTCCTAGGAATTGAAGCAGCAAGGGCCGGGAGCTGAGGGAGTCTTGGGATGCACCAAGCGGCATCTCCATGACAAGCATTTCAGTCCTGCCTGCCAAGGAATGCAGCGGGGAAGTCAGATGGAGACCAGAAAGCCCTAGGAGCCAGCTGTCACCGGCCTTCCTTCCCCCTTTCCCCCTGCCCCGCCCAGAAGCCAAGGAAAAGCTCTTGAGAGTAACCTCCCCCCCACCCCCCTGCCTTCTGGGCAGCTCTGCAACCCCCAGCCCCAGGCCCAGGTGTTGAACCGGAAGTGGAAGGCTGAGGCCCTCCAGGCAAGGCAGGGGGCAGGCAGCCAGGCTGATCAGCCTACCCCCCTCCACCCACCCACACAGCAGCTCCTTCTCTACGCCTGGAGGCTGTTTCCTGTCCCTCTCAGCACGTCAGGGCAGAGCCTTGGGCTCTGAAATGAGCTCTCAAACACCTAGACAGCAGAGCCCCTAGAGGGCCTTGACCTCAGTCAAACGGGTCCTTTCAGCAAGGAACGGTTGGCTTAAAATCTCTAGAGTTGATTTTGATTGCACACAGTCCTTGGGCCCCTTTGGGATGTCAGGGTCACAGGCTATATAGTGCCAGCCTGCTCCCATTGGATCTTGGAGCCCTGAGATAGAGCAGCAGTGAGACCCGGGTCTGCCTAGAGATGGAGGTAGGTTTCATAGCTGTGCTTGGGAGGGAAAGCATGAGCTGGTCTCTCCTGGGAAGTGAGGACTT